TGTCCGCCATTTTTTTCCCTTTTCTTTGGCCACGCCCCTGGCACCCGGTGATGTATAAGTGGTTGGGGGTCATCACAACATGGGGAACTATATTATGGGGTCGCGGCATTAGAAAGGTTGAGAACCACTGCCTGGAAGATTTTAAGTTTGTTTTTCTTTGCCAGTAGTGTGGTATTCTTTTCTGCCAATGTCTTTACTAGATTTCTTTATTCTGACATTTCATTACCTTATGTTTTCAGCACTTCATGTTTTTAGATTCTCATAATTTGCTCTGCCATTTTCCCCAGGTCAATATTCTAATCATGCAAGAAATTCTCATAGTTAAAAGAACGTTCTGTGAAAGACCTGTATTGCTTATTAGCTGTATTGCTCATCACCTCTATAACTAAAACTAATGTTTTTAAAAAGCAGAATTAAGAGCCCATCCTGTTTGAGAGAAAATCCAGGATTGCTTAATGCTATTGCTTAAGCTGGTTTTGCTAAACCTCACCCACGCATGGTATATGTCAGTACAAGAGCTGGCAAGCAAAAATGGAGACAGTGCAGTTGATTTCTCTATTTGTATGGAGTCAGATATATCTAGCACATCATTCTAGCATGTTTTTACAAAACTCCACTGAGAAAACATAATTCAATCATCCATTTCAATCACTGCTGTTTTAAACAGTTAGCCTACTATTGTTAACTGGTTAACAAGTTATAACAAAGAACCAGAGTCATCACAGGAGTATTGCAAAAGGATTACTTAGATCAGAAATGTTAATCCAACCCAGAGGGCAGGAAAAATGTGTCTTCTATGTAGCCCAATCATCTTCTGAAATTGTTTTAAAATGAATATGTCAATTTTAATTTTTAATTTGGTAAAGATTGATAAATCAATGTAACTCATAAAAGTTCTTTTGGAGTCTTCCAAAATTATTAAAAGAGGCAATGGGTCCTGAGAGAGAGAAAAGTTTAAGAAACACTGCTTTAAGACATTTCTTTTATTGTAAGGTTTTTATTGCAGTGCTTAGGTAATCGGAACCAGTAAACATCCTGTACAGTTTACTGAGCAGACACTGAAAATCAAGTCCCTAATTACAGTGTTTTTTACACTGCGCAGTGCTCCCTGCTCTCTAAAGGAGAAAGAAAAAAACCAAAATTCTTGCCGTTATAATTATTGGCCATAGGATACCATATTGGAAACAGAATTATATACATCAGGTCACAATATCCTGCTGGGGCTTCTAAAAAGAAAGGTTGGAATTGCAAATCTACATCTACTGTAATTTTAAAGCAGGAAAGAGTTTTACGATAATTCTTTAAGGCAAAACTTTACGATGTGTGGACTTTACCCAGCATGGCTAGATGGGGAATTCAGGAAATTGAAATCTATATGTCTTAAAGTTGCCAAGGCTAAAAAACACTGTCTTAATCCCTGAGTTGCCTGAAGGGATTTTGACAATCCGTTCTTACTTTTGACATTAATTTCACAAATATAATGTATGTTTGTTTGAAAAAACCACTCTATGTAATAAAATGTTATTTGTCACAGAACCTGCCGGCTCAAGTGCAAAATATTGGATGCATGAGCTTGTTTTTTCAAGATGCAGCAACATAAAAGCATGTTCAGCTGGGATTTCATCACCTCAGATAGTCCCAGTGAGGAACTACTTTATGTGTTCATTAAATGTGATGCAAAAAGGAAATAAGACTTTCAGCCTTGCTCTCTTCTATGCAAGGCTGCCTAATAATTTTTCTTTTCCCAAATGAGGTTGCAATGTCATCTAATTACAGACTTCTTGTAGCAAGAAATTAAAATGTGGTGTGTATTGCCAGCTTTTCTAGCACAATGAAACACATGTTGTTTTCAGGGTGATAGTGCAGGGACAAAAATATGCTGAGAAAAAAACATCCAGTTTTGATCCCAAAGCAGAAGTCAGCAGAGTAATACCTGCCGACTCTTATATTAATGTATTTTTAAGAGGAGTTCTAACATTGTTTCTTTATAATATACTAGACCTGTAAGAGGTTGAGGGAAATTGAAAATCTATCTATCTCTTTTGTTTTTTCATTCAAGAGGCTGAAACATACAACTTATTACATTACACAAATGCATTATACAACATAATAGACATACTATGTTCAAGGCACATCACTGAAATGAATTAGGAACAGTTAATCTGGGGTCTAATAGCACTTTGAAAGACAAGAATGTCCTGTACACTTTTAGTTTAACCAAAACTTAGATGTATGAAGAATGCTCTCCCATTTCTACTACTGAAGTAAAAATCAATAACTATTCTGTTTAGATGTTGGAATGGAGATGTCACTTGGGGTTTTGGCCAATCCTGACTGACTTGAGCAAGCCCTAAAATTATGCTGCAGGAAAAGCTGATGATGACAATGATAATGAGTAAGCACAGCTCAGTGATAGGCCAAGAGTTTTGCATTCTGAATGTTCCAGTATAATAATCTTCAGTTAAAAAAATTATAGGACGTACGAAGTCTAGAAAACTTAAAAGCTGAAGAAATCATGTCATTTAGATTGCTACTGATTAATATAAATGCTAAAGAGTGCTCAGTAGCTGAATCAAATGCTGCCTGCCAATATTTTGTTCTGATGTAGAACCAGACTAGGAAAGAGACAATTGTATACAAGAAATTCAGAGTTAGAGCACCAAATATTCAGTTAATATTAGAGGCCTCGTGTAGTTTTGGTTGACCCAGTGATTTTTAGAACTACTAAAAATGTAATGGGACAATATTTATTTAGATCCTCTTTGAATTCTATGTCCCATAACATACATTTTAAAAATGAGTAGCAGCACATTTGGGTTTTAATTAAATTATTTAATATACATACTTTAGTCATTTTTACCTATTCAAAACATAATATTTTAGGAAACTCAACGATGTAAGGCATTCGGAGCTCATGATAATTTTCTTCTAATTCCTCCTTCCTCTTCCCTGCCTCTTTGTTGTACTTTTCTTAACTATACCTGTGTATATCTCTTTTTATCCAAACAGTCTATTCTTTAGGTAATTGAACTGTAAGACTTTGTTAGATACTGTAGTGTCCTTGGTGCTGTCTGAGCTTGGTCATTTTCTTGCAGATGTCTTATTACCAAACTAAGTAACATAACCAGTGCTACATACTGGTTGTGAGCTGATGGGAGAGGGGCTCAAATTCAAAAAGAAAAGATAATAATGTATATTTGCTGAACAATCCAACTCTTATCAAAAATATTTTAATTTGAATGTGTGTAGACACAATAGAAAAAAAAGAGAAAAGGACAGAGATTATATATATATATATATTTACTGTGGGTTATTTCTATAGTGCTTTAACATATCAGTATATCAAAAATCAGATTGACCTGAATCACGGTTTGCTGTGTTTCGGTTTAACACTGTAACTTCCCTGGTGTTTTAGATTCCCTCCTAGTCTTTAGGTCATCATTTAGGAATTGTGATAGCATTATTTGCCCTGATAAGTTAAAAAAAAAGCTTTTGTTTTTGCTCGATGAAGTTCATTATGAAAAATAGAAGACCAGAAATAGTAAAATTAACCAGAGACTGAAGATGTTGGAGCCACACGACTAAAAATGTTGTGTTGCTTATGCAGAAGTCGTATATATTTATGCAAATTAATGTGTATCGTTTGGATCTTGAGTTTCAGTCCTAATGCATTCTAAACTGAAAAATTAACTAAATTCAGCCACATAAATTAATTGATGAATACAATATTATAAACTGGAATAAGTGTTTATTTTACTTAATTGTATTGAATCAGAAACATTTCAGTAAGTTTGTGTTGCCAAATAGAGTGGCAATATCCTTGTAAATAAATTTGGAAACAAGTTAAGTACTCTGAAACATCATAGTGGTTATATTTTATTGTTTCATATTTATGAGAGTATAGCTCTGCAGATTCTCCAGCCATCAATTCCCCCAGAATATCTAATTGTTTTTAATTTTTTTATTCTGCAGAATAGCCATATTTTTTTTTAAAAAAACTAAGAGATCGGGAAGGGAGAATTGAGTGAACTTTTCCTTGTATAAATAATTTCCAGTGCAAACATGGAAATTGACTCTTAGTTAAGTTATTTGTGTAAGTGATAGTTTACTGTCAATGATGAATTTCAACATTTTTAGTGCACATTCTTTGGTCTGAACAAGCTAGTTTCAGAATGTCAAAATGGGTTTTGGATATGAGACATTCACAAAAACATTTTATAAGAACGAGATTATTATATTTATGCTATACAAACATAATTATATTATTTTGCAAAGTTTTAATGCACTTGTAAACATTGTTAACAAATTGTATTAAATTCACTGCTCACTGAATAAACATTTCTATTCCATTTGTATTTGTCTACTTAAACACCAGTTACAAACTGGTGCAGTCAAGTTGTTTAATTTAAACTATGGTTTTCATCAATGTGAAAAGATCCTATCTAGAAATCTGATAGGAAATTGAAATCAGTATTAAAAATATCCTTGATAAATTAATGCTTAATCTACAGTGCAGATAAGCTATAAGGATTAGTTAAAGGTTCTTCCAGATAAGAATTTTATTGTGTAATTGCCATCTTATTCACAACATTTTATGTAAATTCCAGACATTTACCTTTTTTATTTGTAAACTTCCCACTTTTTTCTACCATTTCTAATGTTTATTTTCACCTTAAGGAAAAGAAATTGAAGAATAATGTTTTTTTAAATAGTCCTGTGCCTGAAAGCATTTTAAATAAGTGTTCAGAGTTCTCTACATTGCTGAAATCAATTTGAATTTTGTTGTTCTTTGCAAGAATACTGTCCATTTTGTAAAGAAGGTAGGTGTGTTATTATGGAATTATAATAAAATAATAGCAGTTCCAAATGGTGATGTGTCCTAATAGCTATGATTGTTTGTCCAGAAACCATCACAAGTTCTTAAATTATTTCACTATTATAAAAGAATCTTGAAGCTTTATCATAAAATTTCCAGCATGGAAAAGGACAAATTCATCAGCTTGCCTTTAGGATATCAGTTTATTAAACTTCTCTGAGCCTTTGAAATCTTGGAAGATTCAATTATGCATTCCCACCGTTTCTGTTATTAATTTAAGATTTATAGGAGTAAACAAATTCCAGATTTGGAGTCACCTTCGGGTAACCTGCTGGGATTATTCAGGTCTTCAAAGAGTCCTGTTTCAATAACTTCTTCTTGCCAGGGTATTGGGACAGCACCAGTAGAAAATTTCTTAAAGAATTCAATGTCTTTGTCATCAAATTCAATTCCCCGAGCTTCAGAAAAATCAGCAATGTCTGCAACATCTTTGGCATAAACGACTGATGGATCTGGCACAAAGGGAGGATCAATAAGACCTGCCTCCAGCCTATGAAAATTTATTGACTTGAAGTATTGATGTTTCCTGGGATCATCATCATTACTCCTGTAATAAAAGAAGAAAGTATTTCAAATAGGAGGAAACTAGTCCTATAAAGCAAATTTATATTTAAGCATGTACTAGTCATACCAGTGGATTTACCAGTGGGATCAGAAGGAAATGATCAAAGATTTGTTAGTGAATTAAGTTTGAAGCCTTCTGTTACTTTCCAAAATAGAAGCTTTAATACTGCAGTGAGCAACAATACTTGATAAATAAATTTTTATACAGATATTTATACACATATACATACACATACACATGCATATACATATACATATACATATATATCAAAAGGTTTGATAGCTCCATCAACAGATTCTGTCAAGTTTACATCGCATTCTGATTATCTCCTTTAGTTGAGAATGTGTAGAGTTCATTAGTTAATCTTTTTCCTTTGTGGATAACTTGAGTAGCATTAAAGAAACAATATATTAGTATATTTCTCTAGTATAGTCCATGTTGTGGACTATAATTTTTATCTTCCTCACCCACTGGGGCATTAGTGGGCATGCATATAATCTCAAAGGAATTAAATTATATAAAAAATAAGCAATGTATTCTATAGGTCCTATAGGTAAGAAGGCCAAATCATGCATGATTGTTGACTTGGTGGAGAAACAGTAAGCTGCACTTGTTATCAATCTGTTTCCTGGTGCAATTCAAGGTGCTGGTAATAAAGCCCTACATGGGATGGGGGCCAATTATTTGTTCCCTGTGGTTTTTGCACAGCTGATAACCAAAAGAATTGGTATGCATCAGGTCATTTTCTATGTCAAGTTGTCATCCTATTTTATCTTTGCTTCTTTTGGGAACAGGTAGCTCCCACGTTGATAGGATTCTGGAGGGCCTGCCTATTCTCCAAGGCTTTGGGCTGGGGTGATAGAGCCTCTTCTGTGTGTTATTACTGGTCATATTCAGTCATCTTGTTATGCTTTTAACTTATTTGTTTTGCTGTTTTTGTTTTGAACTGTTATATTTTATCTTTTTTTTTGTTACATTGTGAGAGACCAAGATTTTTTTTGGGGGGGGGGGCTGGACAGCACTTATTTAAATAAATTCAATTAATTTAAAAGAAGCTCTTTTGTTCACCTAGGATGGCAAGAATGCATTCTGAAAACCGTATTAAAAAATGTCCATGTACATAAATTTCAAAATAAATAAAATGATGTACAATTGATTCCAAAACTGAATTTCATTACTTATGGAGAAAAAAGTGTTTTAAGACAGACAGTAAACCATCAACTGAGTAGTATTAAAAGACATGATTTTCTGTGAACATAATCATGTAAAATAAAAGAAAATGTATAAATTTCTATGCACTCCTTCTTTTTGTAATGCTGATGTGATTAAAAACACAATCGCCAAGATTAGATTCAGTGCCCACTCTATAAAATCTTTGCTTACTGTTTTATAACCTACAGGTCTCTAGTTCAGACAGCCAAGACTATTGATATTTTTTGTGAGTTATGTGCCATCAGGCTGTGCTATGGAACAATTCTTAGAAGAAACTCAGTGGCCATCACTTTCTCCCTTTTTAGAAACTGAGATTTGAGCACCACCACTAGGCCTTTGCTTGCATGTACAAGAGTCACCTAACAACATGATGGAGACAATGTTTATTTGTTAACATTTGTTAGAGTTCTTGTAGATCTCTACCAGAAACAGATTTAAACAGTCTGAAAAGTCTAATTCCTGGTTCACTCATGCCTACTAAATTACAACTTCTTTAATCTCAGTTTGTTAAATAAGCCATAGTTGGCTGGATCACCTACTGAACTAGCCCATTAATATGTTTAATTCATTTGTTAGATTAATAATCATTTATTTTATATTTTTATTTAATAAACATGCAGATTGGTAAATATTTTTGAAAAGAAATCCTCAAGCACTTTTACCATTTTACTAGCATTATAACTATCTTTTCATATTACTTCTAATTATCATGTTCATCTCTGAGAAAACCATTGAAATTATATTTTCTAGAACACCAACAAAATCTCAGGTGCATTCATGTCAGGCCAAGAAAACTACATGGATCTATTCATAAATACATCAAGCTCTGGGTGAACTTAACCCAGTTATTTAACTTTATCATGAATACATTGTATGTTTCCTCAGAAAAATGAATGGTTAGCAAATGAATATATTAAAGTCTGTTCAGCTGTTGTCTGGCTAAAATAAAAAACATATCCTATTACAGTTCTGCAAAAAACAAAATAAAAAACAAAAATTGTTTACAAGGAAAAAGATAGGGGAAGGGAAAGTGCAAAGGAATAAAGAAAAATGAAAAGAAATAAAGAATAACTTCCAACTTTCTTCAATACAGATGCAAAAAGTTTAGTTAACATAACAATCTTTTCTGGAGGTGAGGGTTGTGGGTCAGCAAGCATTGTATCTCTCTAATATGTTCATTAGAGACATAGTTGGGAAAGTTTTGTATATGGCAGTTGATTTGCAGATAAACTAAGTCACAGTATGTATAATTATATTTGTATTTTTTATCCCACTTAGCAATATTAATATTCCAATATTAGCAAATATATTTAGGGAATATCTTCTGAAAGAGAGTCACACAATCTTTTTCAAATGCTACATCTTGGCATCTTCTTGGAACATAGCCTTCTTAATGCTTGCCCCAACAAAAATAATGCTTTTCTTTGGACAATACATTTTTCTGCTTCTTTCTGATTAGTGATCTGTTTCTTTTTGTATAACTCTGATGGAAAATCTAGTTCTACAAAACTTACATAATTGGATTAGGAGATGAAATAGTTCACCTCTTCTGACCCTTGGATTGTTGATGTTTGCTGTTAATCAGAACCTTTTTAGAGGGTCAAATGTGCAAATTAAAGCTGCCTATAAGAAGCTTTAACTTATGCAATGCATACTTAAACAGATAACTCAAGGGCTCAATGACCTTATCAGAATCTTAAGTTAATCTTTATAAAGTTGTTCTTGAACAAAATTTTTAGTGTAGCAACCATAGACAGGATTTCTGCTGTCCCCCGATATATAATGAATGTCCCCCCCAATCTCAATATCTTACATATTGTGGCAGTAAAAAGCAAATGACAGACAAGCATGCCATTGATGAAGTTTGATAGATGCATGTATAATACTTGTAGCTATCAGACTGTTTCTGGACAAAATGAAAGAAAAAGTGTATACTCTATTCACTTTGGGTGTAAACTCACTGGAATCCCACATCTCCTGTAAGTAGGATTTAAGGTTTCCAAAAAAAAAAAAAAAAGGAGAAAAAAATCATCTCTTTGGGCCACATTTTGTGAGAATAAGACAGATGACATTCTCAGTGAAATTCAAGCCAGAAGTCCAGCCTCTTCTTTCTTTCTGTAATCTTCTGCATACAGATCAAGGTTTTGGGGTTTTTTTTAACCTCAAGAAATGTTTGGCACTGATTGTTGATTTTTAATTGGGAGGACTGTTTATTTTTTAATTGGTGCATTCAATCATAGTTTTATCTATTTTAATGTTTTAACCATAAACATAACATTTTCATCTGTATTTTGCTTGTTAGCCATGCTGAGTGTTATTTTTGGCAAAGGAAGAATATAAATTTAATAGATAAATAGCCCAGTTCAAATTATTAATTATGGCGATTTAAAAGATCTGTGCTTTGCGATTAGTATTTTCAATCAACATTTTAATTCCATCATTTCCTTGTGTTTCATTATAGTTTGCATCAATTGCTCCAAACATTGGCTTTGAAAGACAATTTAACTGTTAAAGGCTAAGCAAAACCTCTTTGCCATGACATGGAAGATCACAACTGGTAAAGAATGCTAAAGCAGCACATTTGGCAGTATCAACAGCAGCATGAAAAACATCTGCACAAATAATTATGGCAAGACAATTCTCCGATCCTTTAGAGGTTAATACAACATTCAATGAAGTGGAACAAAAGGCAAAGGATCTAAAACATGCAGCCATTAAAATGTATCTCTGTCCTTTTACTTAGTAATTGGGAATATTTTCCTAATAAAAATATAGGGTGGCATTAAAAACAATTATTACAAAATGTATTCATTTTTTCCTTTAGATTGATAGTTCCTTCTGTTTATAAAGTTCCTTCATTAGAGGTGGTATTTGGCTGCCTTATTCATAATAATGTCCCATGTTTTCCTTGTACATTTTTTTTTAAATAATATATTAGCTATACCCTTTTTCCAACTATTAATTTTATTTATTTCTAGGACTTTTACACTGCTTTTTATTCAGGACTTTTAAGATTTCATTATAGTTTATAGCTGTTTCAGACCCAATTTATTGTACATGGACTTCTTATTTCATTTTAAATTCTTATTTTCTAGTTTATATTTTAGGGGGCTTTTAAAATTAAATTAAAATTAACTTTTGCCCTACCTGACATTGCTGAGTTTTGAAAGGCATCCTACACAGTGAAGAAGGGATACATTTATGAAATGCTGGTATACAGAATATTAATATTTTAGAAACAAGAATGTAACCATAAATATATTATTACATCTCTGACTGAATAAATTTTATTTATGTGAAAAATGTTGCCCTTTAGGCAGAATGTATTTATTTAAATATTTATAAGCCATTTTATTTGGCATTTGAAGTAGTCTATAATCACTATTAAAAGCTTCTCTACAGTTCTATGAAAATCTTTGGATTATCTGATTTTTTTTTGCTTAGTTTTACTACTAAATGTTATCAGAGCTTTATAGAAATCTAATGAAATACAGAGCACCTGAGTGAACATCTGACAACAAACACTAATACTTTTTTTTCATTTATTCCATAACCAAAGCATCCAACATGCAATGCGCATGTTTGAAAAGTATCATTGTCCCCCCTTCTCACAATTCTTACTCATTATTCTTAAATTGGCATCACAAAAAAAAGCTCTTTTTAGTTTAATATTGCTTTGTAGTAGAGCAGGATTGCAGAATCAAAAACTAGCCTCCTCTTTCAGAATTTTGATTTATCTCCTGCTTTGGAGTAGCAGCTTAATAGTTCTGCTGCCACCACCAGCCTCCAGGCCTAGCCTCGTCTGTTCTGCTACAAAAGGGGTCTGCAACCTTGGCAACTTTAAGACTTGTGGACTTCTTAAAGTTGTCAAGGTTGCAGACCCCTGTTCTACAAATCTATCTATCTATCTATCTATCTATCTATCTATCTATCTATCTATCTATCTATCTATCTATCTATCTATCTATCTATCTGTCAGATATATATGGTTGCCCATTTTTGTGGCACACAACTCTTGAGTAGCTAGCAACCATGATAAAAACATAAAAAAGGCAAATAACACACAAAAAGAAAAAAAATATCAGATGAAGTTCCCTCGGATAAAGAGCCCTTTGCCCAAATTCTGTAGGAAGAGGTTTCAAACTATTATTAAACATCACAAGGAATTCTGAAGAAAAGAAATATTCTTAGGAACACAGCCTGAAATAGGTCTGAAAACTAAAACACCCAATTCCATAACTTGTTCATAGAGGTAAAGGACACGGAACAGAAAGCAAAATCTAATTCCTAGCTATACTCATTATCATTTCTACAAAACAAGTGATCCTCTGCCTCAGTGTTCCTGGATTTCTTCAGCTTCTTTGATATTCCAAATGTCTGAGTGATGGAAATTAGCTCTTTTCCAAAACGTATCCATATCCCACAGAGAGAGGGTTGGAGTCTCCGGCTATTTATACATAACCAAGACTCATGTCTCAGTTGTGAGGAAGTGGATTGTGAATCTGCAGTTTGGCATGCAGGCTATAATCACTACAGGCTTAACTCTAATAACCGTGTTTAGCACAGCTACTGTTTTCATTTATAAAAAGAATACTTGAATTAAGATATATAAAATACCAGCCATCTTTCCTTCCTAAGAATTCTTCCTCAAATCCTAATTTTCTGCCCAGCTTTAACCAAAGTTTAAATTGTATATGATGATAGAATCCTTTGTGACTAGTACACAAAGATCAAGATCTTTCCTTCCCTGACTGTGTGATTTTAATATCAGATTTCGGTACTGTGATCTTACTTAACGTTATATATTCAAAAGCAATATGCTTCTTTTTCAACATCCTTATTTTTGCCCCCAAACCAAATTCCTTTAGAATGTCATACCCGAGGTTATAGTTATTCAACCATTTTCATCATAATATGGCATTCATTTATTTATTGGATTTACATACTGCCTTTTCACTTGGCAACTTAGGACAGGTAGGGCACTTATGGGGAATATTTTATGATATTTTATCACAAGAACCCTGTGAGAAATGGAACTAGGAGTGAAAAATTTACCCCAAATTATCCAATAAATTCTGTGGTTCAGTGGGGGAACTGAACCTGGGCATCTCCAGGTCCAGATTCAACAAAAACCAAACACTATTTGCTCAGATCCTCCTATGTGCTCTCTAATAGCTCTTCCACAAAATTCAATAAAATGCTATTCACCAATCCTTGATCTGACTACAGCATTCTGCATCACGCAAGCAGGAACCTTCAAGGGCAGCTATGCACAATGCCTTACAGCAGTGTTTCCCAAACTTGACAATTTTAAGGCATGTGGACTTCAACTCCCAGAATTCCACAGCCAGCAACGCTGGCTGTTGAATTCTGGGAGTTGAAGTCCTCATGCCTTAAAATTGTCAAGTTTGGGAAATACTGCCTTACAGTAATCCAACCGGGAGAAGGGGATTACTGTGGCTAGATTATCTTTGCACCCAAATAGATTTTAGTTCTTTAGCTTAAGCACTCTTGGAAAATTCTACAGTATTGACATTTGAACTTCAGTTCTTTAAAAAATTATGGTGGTACCACTCAATCAAAAGAAGAAGAAAAAATGATACCTGCTTCCTAAACGATTTTCAGGATTCTTTTCCAAGAAGAGTTTGCAGATTTCTTTTGTTGGTTCATCAAAATTAGCATGCTGGAACTGCACTTCATCATTTAAGGTTCTTTTTTTAACTTCATCTTTTTCAATCTTTTCTTTGTAATCCTTGAATGGTGTTCGACCAGCAATCATTTCATAAATACTGCATCCCATAGCAAACCAATCTACAGGATAACTATAACTTTCTTCCTTTAAGATTTCAGGAGCCATGTATCCATTAGTTCCAGCCTGTGACAACATAACATAGTTTTAATAATGAGTAATCCTAATTAGTGATGCATTTGAAAGAGAAGTAATCAGTTCTTTGGATGACTTCCTTAGAGCTTCACCTTAGTCATGAAACAAAATATCCTGACACAAGACATGACATAGAATTTCTGACAAAGTAATCTGAAAAATATTAGTACATATGATTGGTTAAAAACAGTAGCTTTGGGTACTGCACATGTATATAGCACATCTCCCCATTTCCCTCTCTCTCTCCCTTACACACACACACACACACACACACACACACACACACACACATTCTACCTTCCTGACATATGCCACTTTCCTGAGCTGAAAAAATGAATAAATAATGAGATTTCTGTCTCTTACTAATCTGCTTACAAAAAATCTTTTTTTTCTGGCAGAGGGAATCTAGCAGTTTTAAACAAACTACTGGAAGGAACAGGGGAAGCCAAGTTCACTCCATTTCCCAGTGATGGAGAGCAGAGTTGTGCAGAGAAACTTAGAGATAAGTAGGCTTCTCTTATTTGGGTCACCTAATGTAACCAGTAATTTTAACCCAAGGCTATTGGCAAAGAGTGGAAACTTCCTCTATCCCTCTAAGACATTGGTGTTAAACTCAGATAGAAATGAGAGTCCCTAAATCTTGTATTTCTGTAGGCTGCATATTGACCTACAAAATCACATTTTTAAATATATATATTTTTGATAAAACAACAAAAACACATTAAAATCAGATAGGAATTAGATATAACCAATATATTAAAAAAGAGATGTATTATCATTAAGAATATTACAATTTGTTTTCAACACTTGTGTATGTGTGTGTATATATATATATATATATATATATATATATATATATATATATATATATATATATATGTCTTTATGCGTATACAGTACATGCATACACACACACCCCTCCATCACCCCAATGGCCTCTTGCCAATTTATCATGGGGATCAACTCTTTACCTCCTATCCTAGCTCCATGCAATATCCCCTCTAATTTCTGACAATCCATGAGTGAGATTTTTTTTTGTTTTGTGCAGCTTTTCCCAAACTAAATACAACTTTATGTGTCATAATATAAGAGTATAAGTAAATTGTAAATACATATAATAATAACATATTTAAATATATATGCATTTTTACTTAAAATATCAAAACTAGGAAATATACACAGTATGCCATGTACAATACATATTTTAAAGTTGTGATTGACTCCTGGCAACTGCCCCTTCCCCTTTTTTTGCCAGCATTTTGCTAGCTCCTTTTTAAAAGTACCTGTGTATCCATATATACTAATAAATAAATCCAAAGGTCCCCAACCTTTCTGGTTCCATGGATTGGCAGCAGTGGTACAGCGACTGAGGGGAGGGGATCTAGTTCCTGCGCATGCACAAATGAAGCTTCATGCACTTGCCTGCCACTTGCATGGCCCATTCCCAACAGGCTGTGGACCGGTACCATTCCACAGACTGGGAGTTGTAGGCCCCTGGATAAACTCATCTGCAAATAAGTTGACCCTCGAATTTTTAACCAAAATGTGATGAAAAATGTGCCATCCACAGATAAGGCAATTATGAAACTTAAAACATATAAAAACTTCAAAAGGGTCAGGGTGTCCATGAATGGCTTTATCCATGAGTATATTTTTGCCCATTCTTTCCTTTTCTCTGAATATATGCTGAACCTAATTAAACTTTAATCATTATTCATTTTAAAATGGAATGTTGTATAAAGTTAACAATAGTCATGGACATGTTGCAGCTTGAAACTCAATAGATATTAATTATTAAACCTTTTTTTTTAAAGGAAGAGAAATGAATTCAATCTATTTTCGAAGGAGGAAGGAAATTCAACCTGTTTTGAAGGAAAGAGAAAAATTAATTTGGTCTATTTTGAAGAAAGAAGCAACACCTTCATGCACTGGAAGCTCATAGGGTTGGGAACAGGTCAGTTCCCAGTGCAGGGAAGAGGCACAAGCTCTGAGTTTTCCTGACTGATGACTAAAGTTATTATTTAATTTTAAAATGCAGTATTATCCATGTTTTATTATATTTTTATTTTATTTAGTTAAATATTTGTGAAATATATTTTAATCTGGTTTATATTAAATAATGTATTTAAAATACACATAAAATGTATTTTAATGTGGTTTGTGCCACATTTGAGAAAGTTATGGGCCGTGCGTGGTTCATGGCGTGCATGTTTGGATCTCTGTTCTAAGACAGGGGTCCCCAACCCCCGTTCTGTTGACCAGTACTGGTCCAAGGCATGCAGCAACCGGTCCACACAAACAAGCAAAGCCCCATCCGCGGGATGCAGGCAGCACACAAAACCACACCTCCTCTGGTCCGTGGAAAAATGTTTCTCCAGGTCCCCAGTGCCCCAAAGGTTGGGGAACTCTGTTCTAAGGTGTCCCAATCTCTTATTTCTCATTGACAAATTACATTATTTCATAGTGCTCTGCTTTCCTTACATTCCTGACATTGTCATTTTTTACTCAGCAACCAGCTCACCTTTATGACTGGTTGCAGCATTTCTACGTTCACATGACCAAGTTTCATGATGTGAAAGTTTCCAACCCATAGGGATACATTGATTTGCTTAACAACCACCACATTCACTTAATAGCTACAGTATTCACTTAACAACCACCACAAAAAGTCATAAAATCAGGTCTGGTCACATGGGTGCCTCAACTTAGGACCAACATGACTTATTTTTGAGCTCTATTACTGTCATATGTCAAGGACTGCCTATACTTGTATTCTTGCCTATTGAATGTTGTTTGAAAACTTTCTGTAATCAGTGATGGAAGCTCAATAACAATCTTAAAAGGAATAATTGCTAACCTAATTTGTATCAAGGGGAATTGCTGATATGTTAAAAATACAAGTTGAATAAAGTGTAAAAATGTGATACATACAGAACAAGCAAATGAAAATATCTGATACAAAATTATGGAAAAACTGAGGGCATCATGCTACAAAATACTACTTGTATTTAGCAACTTTTTAATGTAATAAATATTATTCAGCTAACTCTGAAACTGCTTACAGAATCACACTGGCTAACTCCATTGCAGGAAAAACAGCCTAACCCTGTCATCACAATAGTAAGGTGTATTGTCCACATATCTTTTATATTAACATGTAGGTCTATATACAATACTAATCTAAAAAGAGGAAAGGGCATTTATTAGGAGAGAATATAATAAAGGAGCTGTTAAGTTTTAAATCCTGTTTAAATGTGTAATCCTTTTGAGTAAATATGGAGTGTGTATGTTTATAATGTGTATGTATACTCAACGCCCAAATAAAATTCAATAATCTACCATTTCACTTCTAATCTGCTGCAGAGCTGTATATCAATAACCTTGAAGAAGGAATGCAAGAGTGATTACGTAAACATGAATTGAGCCCTGAAAGAGAGGATAGAGTGAAAAAGAGACTCAGGATTATCCCGTGTTGATTGTCTTGTCAGGTTTTCAAGATTCTGTTATTGTCCCATGACAATCAAATGGTTCTTATGGTATTTGTTTTCTAATATTGCCTACCTCAAGAGCTGACATCAGTTTTGAAAGCCTCACTATTCAGAAACCACCAACAGACTATTACAACTACATGGAATCAGCATAGCACAGAGGTCCCCAACCTTTTGGGCAACAGGGATCAGTTCTGTGGAGAGAGGTTTTTCCACAGAAAGGAGGATGCGTGATTTTGTGTGCTACCTGCATCCTGTGGATGGGGCTTTGCTTGCTTGTGCAGATCAGTTGCTTGCATGCTGTGGTCCAGTACTGGTCCATGGACCGGGTGTTGGGGACCCCTTGCATAGCACACAAGCCAACTAAAGCTCTCCAAAACAACCTAAGTAAACCAAAAGACCCAGAAGCCCTTAGAAGAAAAAACAGGAGCCATCTACATCATACAGTGTAATGAATGCAACAGCCATTATGGAGGACAACAAGCAGACAACTGGCAAAATGCATCCATGAACATCAACTAGCAGTTAAAAGACATGATGAAAACTCCTTAATTTCACAACATATGGACAGACTGAACCATAGTTTCAACTGCAAAACTGTGACCATCCTAGACCAAGCCAAGTCCAAAAAATGCTAGAGAATTTCTAGAGACCCAGCATTCTGACAAATTAGCCATCAATAGACACATAAACATAAACAATATCTACATACTGTGCAAAAGAGAAAATCAACCAACCAAAAAGGGAACAAAACGACCAAAACACCTCCCTACTAGCAATCAACAGACAGATGAGCATTGATGAACTCCAAGATTAAAATCAGACAAACAATCAAGAAGTAAACAATACCCCAATTAAGGGATTGCCAAACAAGCTAACAATAAACAGTCCAACCAAAGAACATCCAAGACTACTCCCACCAACACTGACAGGGTAAGCATCCAGAATATAAACTGAGAGCAAACACCACTCCTTACTAGCACTGATGATGTTACCTAGTTTGGGTTATGAAATGTCTGCAAGAAAACAACCATTCTCAGAGAGCACCAAGGACTCCTCATCACTATTTATTCAGAGTGGCATTGAATCTCGCTTTGCTTTGTGGAGATGACATCAGATTATCAGAGCACCTCACTGTACACAGAACAACTCACTGAAGCATTGTTATAGCATCAAGAGCAAGTGGATATACTGATAACAAATCTGCACAATGTTATAGTACAACTAACACAGCATTTCAGACAAAGCAATATATAACATGCAGCCCAATTGATATTTCTTCACTTTCATGGGAGTTTGCCATATATATTTGAAGGAGTCAAGACAATTTTCTGATCTAATTTTAGTCTGTGTGAATTGTTTAAGACATGATGGCCAATAACATTCTTTACAGATGGTTTCAAGGTGCATTTTGATTTGAGTCTCTTGAAAAAAAAGGGAAGCCAAAGGATTGTACAATGATCCATTACAGAATAAGTATCAGAACTTCACACAAAGATTTAG